CCACCCCTGCTCTACAGGGAACTACACGGAGCTTCATTAGACCATTTTAACCTAGGCCGCAATGAACAAAATCACCCGAGAACTTTTCCCTGAGCCCAGACAGGGTCCAATCCTCACCCACACAATTCTCCATCTGTTGTCAAAAACCACTCAATGTCTAAGCAGTCTGCTGCAAAGTAAGATTTATTGAGGAAAAAAATCAAAAACACCCCAAGAGAATTTGTTTCCAGTCCACGGAGTGGAGCAAGTACAGAGTTCAAGACATCCCTTTTTTATATTCTCTATCAAGTCTTCCTTGTCCAGGGCTTGCTTCATCCAACCTTTCTCTCTGACCTACTTAGGGATATACTGTTATTTCATTGGTCAATATAGGTTTCTAAAAAAGATAAAAATGGCCTCATATGAAAAATGCTAACTCCATCAAGTTCAAGGCTAGGTTACAAGATTAACATCCCTCATTTCATAACACATCAAAACAAAAATCCCTCTTTACATACCTTTACAGCTAAGGGCCATGCCTGGTGACCCCCCTACTGCTCAGTCATCAAGGCCATCATCCTTTATCAGTCTGGGCAGCTGTCCAAGCAACAGGCTGATAAGCTTTTATTTCTCACTCTCTTGCCTGTTATAAGTCTACCAGGGTCACTTCACAGTCAACTTTCTCAATACAGCCTGTACACTTCAATGTTAAGCAAATATAATGAAATTAATATAGTGAATTAAAGCAAATAAAACATAATTTTCCACATCCCCCAAGACTTTTGAAAAGGTCTTCCTGTCATCCACAGTGTTAATAATGTCTGTTTACAAATAATGGAGTTCAATGGGTAAATTTGGTTGAAATATTAAAGGAGGGTTATTTAACTTTGTTGGACAACACACATTTGTAAGGTAGAGTAAAAACAGTGTTCCATATTCTTCCATCAAGAGTCTGGTATGTCCATGTTTAACAGCTATTGTTCTTGTAGTGAGGGAGTTTCTTATAAAGGTGCGGCGGCCCCTTTAAGAAGCAGGCTGCCGGGTATTCGTTACCAGGACGACAAGAAATGACAAAACTTATCGGTCGTCTGTTAACAGCGGCAGTGAGGGAGTATCCAGACTCTTAGTAAGGTTTGGCTGTCACTTTAACAAATAACAGCAAAATATGTGCTACATACTTGAAACGCAATTTCAAGGCGCTAAATGGAAGTGAAAACTAACCGGCTTCTCGACCGACACTGATTCAGCCAGCAACGCGGCGTCTAGCAGCAAGCAGAAGTAGCTAGCTCAAGGCTCGGTTGTGTTGCCAGATAGGACACAAAGCTATTGTGCTGTTGTGGAAGTTATCAGTGAAATTGAATGCTGTAGCACGTTTGCCATCCTTCACCTCGAAGTCTACTGATCTTTTTCAGGATTAATCTGAGTATGGTGAGGATTTTTGCATGAGCAGAAGAATAAACTATTAAAATGAGCAAAACATATGAATCAGGAAACGTCTCTGAGGTGGAGGAGCATATCTCTCTGAAGTATGAAATCAAGAAGAGACTCGGAAAAGGGGTGAGTGAGTTTTTGCAAATATATTGAAAAAAGTCAGTTTATAAAATTTATATCAGAGCCCTTTATTGCACTGTAGTGTAAATCCCCTGTATTTACACAAGTTTCATAAGTTGGCAACAGTTTTGCTTCCATTTCAATTTGCAGGAGTTACAAGTGTTGCAAAGCCCATTTTAGATTCACATTTTAGTACTTTAGAAAAACTCCAGACCTAAGTCCTACCAGTGTTGTAGGCAAGGGGTTTATTAACTTTTTTCCCCCAGATCAGCTGATCTCTAGCCCCTTTTGTTTTTCTCTCTACTGGTATGGTTGCCAAATGGCTAAAAATAGCCTGGTTTCTTTCCATGGATTGTCCTCAGAGACTCACAAATTGCTGCTCAAGTTTAAATGGCCAGGTGGTAACTGCCACATAGAAATATCATATTGGCTAGACATAGCTGAGCACAGCCGTGACTCATGTTACACAGCCTAAACCTGTTTACAGTTGACTGGCAGCCTCCTGTGAAGTGAAGATTCAAATTGCTAAACTAAATAGTGAGTAGCACCCTGCTAGCCTAACTGGATGGTAAAAGTGCTTTTGTAGCAGTGGAAATGACTTTAAATTGCTTGGAATAAGCTGTCTTTTTGTATAAAACTCAATTTTCAAATGTACCCCCTATGAATGTACATCATCTCTTCTCCTGGAGCATGACAGAGACAGAATCCCCCATCCGCTGCGTGAGAATCTGATCCACTGCCTCCGATGACAGTACTGCTCCTTGTGTCACTATGGCAGTGTCACCACTGCCTCTGTTATGTTTGACTTCACTGCCGACATCAGCACCCTCTTCACCAGTCAGGGCCCTAGCTACTATTGTTGACACTGAGGTTATGTTATAGTGTTTTTTTTTCTACAAACAGGATGATCAGAAGTGCAGTACATATAATTTAAAGCCACATTTAGAGACTTTAATATTGGGGTTTTTTAGAGGCACATACCAATATTTTTAGGCTGTATGTCCTGTTCTCTTCACAGCCAACTGTGTTTGGCACAGCTGCTCAAGACGCATTATTACTATTTCTAAAGTTCTGCAGCCCTGGTCATAGTTTTTCCCCATTTTAGTTGACTGTATTTTTTTAACAAGTTGACATCCTGCTGTTAACTATTTGTTAATGCTGGACTTAGTACAGAATAGAAGCCCACAATTAGAAGGAGTGATATGTATTTTGTGTCTGTCTCAGGCTTATGGCATCGTATGGAAGGCAGTTGACAGACAGACAGGTGAGATTGTAGCTGTGAAGAAGATCTTCGATGCCTTCAGAAACAGGACAGATGCCCAGGTGTGTACCATCAGTTCTAGAGTAAATGAAATTATTTCCATAAGTGGGGTAAAACTATGGAATAATTTAAGTGTGGACATAAAAAACAGTAAGAGAATTGATGAGTTTAAACATAAATATAAAGGTATGTGTCAATCAAGATATATGCAAGAACAGGTTTAACGATTAATCAGGTGTAACATTGTGGGTGTGGTGTAAGAATGTTAACACTATGTAATATCTCTACTTGTGTGATGTAGAAGATAATTACTAAAGTATGTCATTATGCAAGAATGTTAACAGTCTGTAATATTTTTTAGTATATCACTAGAGTGGTGTAGAACAAAATTATCTATGTAGTAATACTGCTTGCAAACTAATGATGGTAAGATGATGTTATAGGGTAGGACTGGATAAGTCTGACTTCTTCCTACTCCGTTCAAGCATGTACTAGGTATAAGCAAATTGATAATGCATTTGTGGATTTGTGTGAAATTATGTGTGTTGACATATTGACTGTCGTTACATGTTTGAGAGAATAAATTAAATCAAATCAAATCAAATTAAGCTATTATGGAAAACAGTTAAATGTGCTCATATCTGTAAATCAAGCCCATGATTCCCAGTCATTTTGACTTGTTTTTATCTTTTTGGTCTCTTAAATTGAAATAATGCCTACTTGCAATTCTTTTTCCAAATCAATTGGAATGTAATCATATTATTAGAATTATCCAGTTTACACAACAACAAAGAGGAATGCCTGAATAAAATTGTGTAGCAATTTCCTGCCTGAATAAAATTGTGTAGCAATTTCCTGCTTTCATAGTCTATTAACAGCACTGCAACCTCCTGAGGGATCCTGACTCTCAGGTTTGAAACCAAACTTGTTTGAATAGAGAGATGAGTTTGGCTAATAACTAAGTAGAACGGGATGCTTTTGTGTGCCTAGTTTATGGCTGCAAATTGTTTGTGGAGTTCACATCCTGACTGTAATTTTCTTTCTCTTTTGCAGCGAACATTCAGGGAAATCATGTTCCTCCAGGTAACAATCAGAATGGTGACTAAGTTAAATAATGGTCATCTCAATGTCAGACTATGTCCATTATTTTCTCTTTTAATTTTTTAGTGTATGAACTGTATAACACATTAGAGACACTTGTTCTTCTTATGATATAGAGAAATTGTGCCCACATAACAACAAAGAAATTCACATTATATGCCTATTCTCCTTTTCAAATTTAACATTTTACAGGCACATTTTTCCAGGCCTATAGCTCCACTGATTTCCTCCTTGACTATTTCCTCATTGTTGAAAGGTTTCTTAACCAGTTGTGTAGCTGCTTAGTGGATGAAAACCACCAAACAAAAGGTGTACCACTACTGGTACAATTTGCACTGTGACAAAAGTCCATAAGATGAAAATATCTGCATAATGGAAGATATGGTATTCAATATGGTAAAATACATATGAAGAATGAAGTACCTACAGGGTTTTGATCCTTTTTCTAAATATTCAAAAGGTCCAGGAAACATGCAATTAGCAGCAAACATGTAGTGCTCTCATTGTGCATTATATCCTTGTGTTGCATATTCTTGTTCCACTCTTTTTCTGCTGACCTACATACATGTGACCGTGAGTTGCGTCATTGCCCCCTTATCAACTGTTGTCATCTACTAGTCCCTGTTTACATAACCTTGACACAATATACTGTATGCCAGTTATTAAAAGTCAAACAATGACCACAGTGTGCTTTCTATGTGTGTATTTTTCCATGGTTTCTATTACCAAACATTTTTATCCTGTGTGCAGGAGTTTGGCGATCACCCCAATATTGTCAAACTTCTAAATGTCATCCGAGCGCAAAATGATAAAGACATTTACCTCATCTTTGAATATATGGGTGAGTGTTGGAAATTCCTGTGGTGCTTAATTTACAGAGCTGCACAGCAGTGACACACAATCAAATACTAATATTTAGTGTTACAACACATTCACATGGGCAGGGCTGCAGTGGTTCTTAGCTGTTTAACTTGGCGCTGAGGAAGCTTAGATGTGTGTCTAACTGTGTGGAAGGGCTTTTTTTCCCTTGGCTGTATGCACTGTTACTGCTGAGTCCACAGATTGGCCTCCCCTTCTCTGCAGACTAATCTGTGATTCCACTGTTTCTCTCAAGTATTTCAATATCAGAACATAGCTTGGTTTAAATCAGGGGTGGCCAATTCCAGTCCTCAAGGGCCGCTGTCCTGCTTGTTTTCCAACTATCCCTGCCTGACCTGCTGCTGATTACCTGGCTCAGGTGTGTTCAGCCAGTCAGAAGCTGGAAGAAGGACATCAGCCCTTGAGGACTGGAATGAATTGGCCACCCCTGGTTTAAATCATTGTGTGTGTGTGTGTGTGTGTGTGTGTGTGTGTGTGTGAGACTATAGAGAAGCATATGTTTACCACCTCTGTGCTAAAATCATGGTTTGCTGAAGATTTGATTTACAGTCTAATTGGTTGATACTGTATAGCAGAAATATTATTATTATTTGTTTCTCTCTGTTTGTACCAGATACTGACTTGCATGCTGTAATTAAGAAAGGCACCTTACTGAAGGATATCCATAAATGTTATGTGATGTACCAGCTCTTCAAAGCCACCAAATACCTGCATTCAGGAAATGTTATCCACAGGGACCTTAAGGTATGCCAGTTATTTTATCAGGGGCGAAAATACTGAAGACTTGTAATGAATGTCTTTGACAATTATGAAAAACTATTTTAAATCCAGAATCTATTGCTGCATTACAGTATATATACATATATTATTTTGTTTTGTAGTCAATGTAAATGCATAATATATAGCATAATATTTGAAATAAAGCATTTATTTATTGCATATACATCTAAAGAAATGAAGCTACTGTAAAATGCAGTTTGTATAATGACATTAAGTAAGTCTGCAGCAAACCTATTGATGTGAGTGCACATCATGGTTCTTCAGCCTACAAACTAGATTATTGTTTCTCTTTTTTTATGGGAGTTTGCTGCCACATTCCTTTTCTTCTCTTATTTTCACTCCTTGTATAATTTCTGTTTTCATGCCTTGGACAAACTGTGAACCACACACTGTAATATCTGCTCAATGACCATGCTGACCTTTGAGTAGATACATGAAAATCAAACTATTATTTTCCTTGTGAAAAATGTTTCTCTTGTGTGTGTTTCCCACAGCCATCCAACGTGCTGTTGGACACTGACTGTGTAGTCAAGCTGTGTGATTTCGGCTTGGCCAGATCACTCAACCAAATCCAAGAGGACAGTGGGAATCCTGCACTGACAGAGTACGTGGCGACGCGGTGGTATCGAGCTCCTGAGATCCTGCTGGGATCCACAAGGTATCAGCTATGACGAACATCTGTTGTCAGTATCTGAACAACATCTTAGGCTTGTGCTTGTTCTTCACAACAGTTGATTTAATAATGATGTAGAAAATAGATATAAAGTGGTTGTAGCAGCTGTTTTGAGGGTACCAGACTGTAAAAGTACAGTACATCTTGTCCAAAGGTATACTAAAGGTGTAGACATGTGGAGCCTTGGCTGTATCCTGGGAGAAATGCTGCTGGGAAAAGCCCTGTTCCCCGGGACATCCACCATCAACCAAATAGAGAAGATTATGAGTGCCATACCACACCCTAGCCCAGAAGGTAACTAAAAAAACTCAGGTTCATTCAATCCCCAAAAACTGTACTTTTAGTAAAGAACATCATTCATTATTCTGAATGAATTAAATGCAATTTCATTTTCAGATGTCGTGGCAATCAAGTCTGAATACGGGTCCTCTGTCATTCAGAGAATGTTACTGAAGTAAGAAAACCTTTGGTATTTTTTATGTTGTGAAAAGCTCACTGTGTACACATCATGTTAGCATTAGTGAGGTTCTTTTATCATGTGAATCTGGGAATGTAAATAACCAACAGTGTGTCTGTTGCATGTACGTACAGTTCATGCTTGGCCTCATTTGGACCTCCTGATCACTCCTGGCACAAAAGGAGTTTAGGGACTGATGATAACAAATTTATTCCCCTCCACTGGGAGGACTATTATAAGGGCCTACAGGTGGAGGCAGGGCTCATTACATGCTTGGGGAGCAGTAACGCTGATTATTGCAGAGATGCAATGGTGCAGCAATGACAAAGCAAAATCATAACCTGAGCAATGTCAACTTACAGTATCTAGTATAGACCCTCTTGTTGCAAAGGGTACTTTGGATATGTGATGCAAAAAATGGATATGGATATTTCATGCAGCTGGGAGAGTCAAATTGTCTACCTGAACTTACTTTGTTATACTTCTGATTTTTGCATATGACAGTAAGTTTGTAAATTGACAATATCTGTTTGTACTTTAGAAACTAAAACTTAAAAACTATATTTCTATTTATCAGTTTTTTTAATCTTTCAAGTAAAATTTTGAAAACCCCAATATGGCCAGATATTATCCATCAAACCTCCTGTCTATACCCAACATTCCTCTGAATTTCTTCCTCCTCCTGCTTTTTTGTATTTAATTCTGACTCCTCCTCCTTTCACCAGACCACAGGTGCCTTTGGGGGATCTTCTCCTGCCATCTGTGCCTCCTGATGCTGTGGACCTATTGAAGGGTTTGCTAGTTTTCAACCCAGACAAGCGGCTGACTGCTGAGCAAGCCCTCCAACACCCATATGTAGCCAGGTATTAAGAAGCACACATTCGGGTCGATTCATGGATCAATAGATATGGTCAGGTTTTCAGTGTTTAGCTGTTTCATTTTGTCAGTTCAACATTGAGAATCAATCATTTCTTCTCAATGCTGTGCTGCCAGTGCTAGATTAAGATAAGTATTATACCGTTTATGTTGTAGTTGAGTCACTAAAACTTGAGTCCAAGTCACCAAAGAACAGAGTCAAGGTCTCGTTACCTGAGTCCAAGTCAAGGTCTACATTAAACACTGACGCAGTGCTCACCATTTTAAAATAAGTTTACTTACTGTGTGCAACACGATAGCCAAACAAATGCATTCATAAGTGTGCACACACCCACACTACATAAAAGTATGCTTCAATGGAAGTGTGCTGAAGGCAGAATCAAGTTCTACAACACTGTGTCACTCTTACTCCAATAAAGTGCAATCACTTATCCATAACTTTGTTTCTGTCCCTGCAGGTTCCATAAGCCAGTGAAGGAGCCAGCTCTTAACTATGATGTAGTGCTGCCAGTGGATGATGATATACAATTATCAGTGGTTCAGTACCGCAACAAACTTTATGAGGTATAGAGTGACTCAGCGTTTAGGGGTGAAGTTTAACTAAATTTTTACACAGTAAGCCATATTAAATACAGTAGTGCAGTAAACTCAGGCAAATGATTTTTTGAAAATTGATATGATCATACTAACTAAACCTAGTAAATTGCCCTCTTCTTTACCTGCAGATGATACTGGAGAGGAGGAATAATCAAGGGATGCTAAGACTGATTCAGCCCAAAGATGGAGACTGTGCCGGTAGCAGGGACAAGCCCAATGTGAAAGACTGGGAAGAGAAAGGCCCAGTGGCAGGGAGCAGTGATAGTAATGTCAACTGTGAGGGGAAACCACAACATAAAAAGACTGCAGAGACTAATCATGTGCCTTCAGACACTGGGATCACCAAACCTGGGCCTACAAATGTATCCACCCCACCTGCTGTGGAGAAGATGAGCCCATTAGCTAGCCCTGGCGTGGGAAAGCTCACATTTAATCCCATCACACATGCACCAAGTATGTGAGGATGTATCTGTACAGGTTCCATGCAGGGCTGGGTATCAAAGCTAAGAACTTTTTTGGTTTTGACCAAGATATACTTGTTGCATTCAGTATCAAAAACTGAATATTCTAAAAGCTTGCATTAAATTCAGTTATAGACTCTTGTTTTTTTTTTTCTTCAAACTAAGTTGCCAAAAGAAAGCTATCACTACAGAAATTCAAATATTGTATCAGCATTAGTATCAAAAAATTTAAACAATGCCCAGCCCTACTTTCACATGTTCACAATAAAATCTAAACAATGGAGTTGCTTTTAATTTGCATACTGTAAATCTCTCAGCCATGCAGTATACATGCACATTCACTTGGCTGGAAAACACAAGCTCTGCTTTCCTTCATTTAGATGGTTTTGTTCGGAATCCAGCTGGTGCTCCTCATTATTACCACTCTACTGCAGCTTGCAGGAAACCCATAGGACAGACCAGTAATGGCAGTACAACTACATCACCAACAGAGAGCACCAATGCTAATATAGTAAGCACCAGACCTCAGTACACTTACTATTTAATCGATATGGTTTTCTTACGCTGCAAAGTAATCTTATTTTCTTTAGTTTTTAAACCCATTTTATTTTTGGCTATTTGCAATCTTTCCCACTTATGCTGCTTCTGTTGCTCACTTTAAATCTCATTCTGTCTTTTCTCCCCACCCTCACTAGTCGATGGACCAAATTCTCCAGCGTGGTCGTTCTGCCCCTTCGGCCCATAACCGTTCCTTCTCCGTGACCCTAAACCAAACCCACAACAACCCATTAGTGCGCAAGGATGAACCATCACTGTCTCCTGGGCTATACGTCACAGCTGCCTGCCTGGTCTGTCCATAGCGTCTCAGAACATGTCAAATATGATTCAGTGCCAGGATGCAGTATCATTCTGTTTACATACATGATGAAATATTGATTTTAATGTAGAATATGTTTGGAAAGTATCTGGATATTTTAAAGTTTGATCTCAAAAAAGCTATAGATGGAATGGCTGTCATGGCAGGTCTAACTTTCTTTTTTCTTTCCTTATAGAACCAGCGCACTAACTCTCAGGTTCGTGATGCTCGGCCTCCGCCTCGGTTCAACAAGAAAGTATTTCAGAATAACTGTAATGTGGCAGCTGCAGGGGACCCTCGAGCCAAGCTAGGCAGCTATTCCCAGGCCTATGGTACCATCAACAAGACTGAACTGGACAATTTGCTTCGAAATCGCCCTTACAACCGTTAACTGCTGACTGGGTCAGTGGTTACATAGGGGCTGGGTGGCACATGTTTAAACACACAACAATGTTTGCCTTGTGATATGATATTAAGCACTTGGCAAACTGAAAGCGATCTTATAAAATGAAACTGTTAAGACTATCAAACACCTGTTGAGTACTGTGATTGTACCCACGGAGACATGGATTTCCATTCACTGTCAATGAAAGTGAATATATATATATATTTGTAAGATCCAATAGTGAAGGTTTGTATTACATTTATCATATTATGCAACTTACAGCAATATGTACATGTGTGTACTTTCTTCAGCATACTTTGTTCAAGTGCTTCCCTCACAAGGATGGATTATTAGTCAACTGCCTGGATCTCCTGGTCCTGTTTTCATTGAGTGTGTGGAGGTGTGTAGACACCAATTCCACACATTATTTGTTGTAATCATATGTACAGAGACCACATGTGAAAATTCACCTGCCATACATCCCTAAAGACATTTGAGGTTTACCCAGAAATCACAAACAGGAAGCGGTATGAGCCCACTGCGCGCTTGAATTAACCATGATTTTTCATATTGATCTCTAGAGCTAATGGCCTGTAGGCCTTATGTATTAAGTACATTAAGCCAGTGGGTTTCTGATGGACACAGCATAACTGTAAACATGCAAACCATTGTTTGAATTTATTATATGCAGTAAGGAAATATTTTCATGTGAATACAACAGTAATACTGCGATGGATTGGCGACCTGTCCAGGGTGTACCCAGCCTTCGCCCGATTGCCGGCCGGGATTGGCTCTGGCCCTCCCCGTGACCCCTTTCAGGGACTAAGCGGTAGAAAATGAATGAAAATGAACAACAGTAATAATCCTATTTGCTCTAGTAATGTGTATAGAATGGAAAAGGTGTTTCTTGGACCCAATTTATAATATTTAACAAGACACAGAGAACTGTGGCAGCAATATACCATAAAGGTTAATAATAAACTGAGGTACTCAAATAGTTTACTTAGCAAAAGTACTTGTATAACAATGTAAATACCTCCATTACAAACAGCCCGGCATTCAAAATCCTACTTACATATGTGCAGTAAAAAATACAAATGTACTATACTAGTACATATCACTGCAAAAAAAGGACCTCTGCTCATATGTTATTATACAGTAGGGTTATTACATTTTTAGATTGCTAATACTGATACAACAATGTGTAAGTAGCATTTTGCTGTTGTATTTGGTCAAAGTGGAGCTAGTTTAGACAAATGATTGGTCACAAGGTCAGTCATAGGAGTTGAGAGATGATTAATGGGGTGGGAAACAAGAAAACAAAGGTTTGTAATCATTTTATAAAGGTTTCATAAATATTTGCTTTTCTCATGAAATATACTTCTTTTCCTCACTGGGCCTCAAACAATTACTGAAATAAGTGTGAAGTCTAGAGGGCAATTAACTGGAATTGTTAATAACTCAGACATCTGAAACATGACCCCAAGTAGACAAAAGGTCCCAAGCCAAAAGGTTTAGTCTTGTGCATTAAACTTTATAAGCTTATCATGGTTTTGCTATGTAATATTTTAATCAGAAAAGTAGCCAGTAATTATAAGAGTAATGTGATGAAGTATGTAGAATATTTCCCTTTGAATAGTGGAGTAGTAGTATAAAGTAACAAATGGATTTACTCAAGTAGCCTAATTAAATGTAAATGTAATATACTCTACACCACTAATAATAAACCACATGACATGACCACATGTAAAGAGGCATCATGCGGAGCTCTCCGGACCTATCTGGATCATTCCATTGCAGTATCTTGTTTGTAAAGCTAGTTAGAAATCTTTCATTGCACAGTTAAGGTTTTTTCTCGCATGACCCATAACGACGTTATGGAAAACATGTATCCTTTACGACAGCAGCTGAGATCAACTGTGTCAGTGTGTGTAACAACCGGAGATTCCCGCATGTCACGTGACCACAGTTTGTGTTGTCGTCAGTGGCTCTCGGTTCAGTCCCATTGAGACCACCCGGAGGAGGAGGAGGGATACTTTGTGTTGGCAGCTATTCTGAAGTAAACCCCTTAAAGGTATGGCTGTCATTCTTTTGTGAGAATATAATAAGCGTGTGTGTGTATTTTGCAAGTAGAAATTATTATTTCATTTAATTAATATGCTGGCTGTACGGCTTACATGCAGCGCTTGGCTAGCAATGGTCAGCACCCTGCCTGTCGCCAGTCGTTACTTAATGTTAGCAGGATAGAACACGGTAAATTAACATAACTAAATTAATATTAGCATGACTGTAATTGCCAAGATACAGTTATCTTACAAAGAAAGGTAGTTTGGCCTCAAAAGGAGCGGACAGCTCAACATCAAACGTGGGCGCGCGGCGTGTGATCACTGTCCTAAAAAAAAACTTGACGTTATTTAATGGTTTCATCATGGCGAGCTAGCTAACGTTAGCTGACTGTTTCTGATATCGATCGCCTGTTCACTGTCAGTTAATCCATGTTCCCCTGTAATGATGCTTTGATAGCCTGGGGTTATTATTTGTGAATTTAATGTAAATGATGACTGCAGTGTCGCATTGATCTCCGCTGGTAAGGCCCAGATGGACGTGGGCCCGCTGCAGAAGGTGCACCATGAAAACGAGGCTCGCTGTTTATATTGGTTTCATGTTTCTGTTGTGGTTTGCAGTCGTGCATAATCTCTTAACAGATGTTTTTCCAGATTGCTTTAGGGTAGTATTCCATGCATTTTCAACATGTTCTAAGTCATTACATATAATCAAAACCTACTGTGCTTTTGAAATAACAGTTATAGATGTCGGATATGATAGTTCTGTAGTTGATAATCGATTGTTTGATTCCCAGAGAAATAAAGTTTTATATTAATGATCAGTTAGTTTGTTTTTTTCAAGCTAAAATGTCATCACTCACTGGTTTTCAGTTTCTCAAATGTAGGCTTTACTGGTTTTCTCTGTCTTTTTTTTTTAATTATTTGTTGTTGTTTTTTTGCTAATTAAGAAATTAAATATCTGACAAAGTATTTCAGCACAATCCTGCAGCAATCATGTGAACAGACTGCTATGGCAGTACTGCCTATACAGTGGCCAATACAAATATTACTGGGCTAGACACCATGGTGCAAATTCTCTAATGGTTGATTGCAAAACAAAAGTTTTTAATCATAACATCAAAAGAACAGTATTAATGCTGGTGTATCATCCATATCTTGTTTCCGTATATGCACATGTTCTCTGTGAATTTCCAATGTACTGTCTCCATTGGCCAAAAACTGTCCTTTGTTCTCTGTAGTCTAGATCCTGTTGTCTTTTTCAACTTTCCCATAAATGGGTTCTATTTACAGGTCAACAGTGTTATTTGTTGAAGTTCTCTTTTTGCAGTCTGGCTGTGCTGTTTTGACTGACATTAAAGGAATATACCTGAGCATGACATTCATCAGCTTAAACAAATAGCCCCTGCTCCTCTGTGACAGATTGGTACCAGGACAATCATGATGTCATCCAGAGCAAATTAGTTTTCTCCCTTAATAGTATTGATTTAGGTTGACTTTGGCTTTGCTTTACTGGTTGCAGTTTCATGAAATGTTGATGAAGGGATTTTGAATGAATACTTTTTCATTAATATTGAGTGCTGCAGTAAAACGATTTCTTGTGGGTAATCATTTAACGGAAGAACAAGGTGAGGAGAATTCAAATAATCAAGATTTGTGGATGTTTCTGCTGTTGTGTCACAATCTTGCTGTGACACAGATCTGAAGTAACTCCTTGATCATTGAATATTCACTGCAGCCATGGAGATAACCACCTCATCCTGCAAAAGCTATTTATGTGCTTGTTACCTTTTGCTGTTAATTGAGTTGGAATTGGAGAGGAGGAATAGTCACTATTTTGGATAAGTCGGTTTTGCTTGCACTTCAGTTCTCTTTGATAAGATTTAGATTTTTGAGGATCAGTGAGCTTATATTGATCAGACCAGAGCAATTAAACTGAGCTATCTTGCCGACACCATATGCTGAAATTGCCAACTCCTTACACCTTGCAGGTCAAAGATAAATAAGCCATGTTTTGTTCGAGCTATGGCTGGGCTACAGCGGTGTGTTTGCTGCCACCAGGGAAAATAACTTTTTTCTTCTTACAACAAAACACTTTTGACTTGTAACAACGTTTGTTTCTTGTTATGTCCTTATTTTGTTTAATCAGGAAGGGTTTTAGGATATTAAAATACTTCTTGTCAATAGATTCAGCACAATAAAACACATTCTTCTGATAGTGTGAAGTTGTTAAAACTTTTTCATTTTACAGTTTACTTTTATAAAGAGAATTTGAGATTTAGTTTACTGTGGCAGTACTCCTGTATTAACTTACTCAAAGTGCAGCAACCTGTCACAACGTGAGGTGTTTGCAGGTTTGACACAGCCAGAGCTGCTGCTGCTGCTATGATGTAGCATGTATTGTACCAAACTTCTGCACTAGGTGGCAAATAGGGGCTGAGAGCAACAAAATATAAAATTGAATCTGCCACCTGGTCCAAGTGACATTCATAATAGGATTCAAAACTGTTATTGCTTCAGGTTTGGTTCAGCTTCAGCTGTGGTTGGTGCTGTGTGTGTGAAAACCTTATAAAATAGCCATGCAAAGCTTTTTCACTCCCCACAGGTTGTGAAACTGTGTTGCTTTATTACCACAGTCACTGATCATGTGACCTAAACAGCACTTTTTTTTCCTGATGATGACTTGGTGAAGTCCTAGATATTAACATATAAAAAAAAAAGTATATGGCATCATCTTTAAAACAAGTGGTGTTTTCATCATGTAATCCTCTATCAAAGATCACAACTTCTCACTTTGTATAGGCCCCACTCTTTTGTGCATCTTTTCCTGTTTGCTTACTGTGTTTTCTGAGGTTACCCAGGCATGCACATAGCATGCTGCATATGGGTTTGTCCAGGTATTGTGCTGGCCTAATTGTGTTAACACGGCTGTCTGGTTAGCTCGCAGAGTCTCCGTCTTTGACCTAATTCCCCTAGCGATAGCTATCAACAGAAGCCAGGGATAATGGCACTGTCTTTAACCACAGTGTCAAGGCGTCTCTCCTAAGGATTTGAAATGCTTATAAAACTGTACAAATAGTGCCTTACTAACTCTGTTCACTTTCACCAGTTCTTATCTATGGAAGTGAAACTGTTGCGGTTCTTAATCTGACCTTGTGCACTTGTGAGCAGAGAGGGCACAAACTCTGGATGTGCTTTGATGAAATGCCTTAACCTTTCTCTTGTAAAAGTTTTACTTTTTGGTAACAAGCGTTTTTTTTTTTTTTAAGTAGATTTGGTCTATCAAATCAACAAGCTGCATTCATGTGATGATGTCGTAAGCACATTGAAAAATCAGTCTGTTGTCAAAATATCAGAGAAGAAGCCTGGCTGTAGTGACCTGACTGTTTCTGGCACTTCTGCCCCATTCTCTTAACTGTGTGTGGTGTGTTACTTTGGATTATGCAAAGTGATTCATCATGCACAGATTAAAAACTACATACAGTCCTGATGAATTAAGTTGTAAAACACTACATTTGAAATGACTTCTATTAAGCATAATTTACAAGACTTTGCTAAAATCTGGAAATAACTAATATGATTAGGACAAGAAATTCAATGTTTAATGAATTTTAGAGAAAAATCACACTGATATGATTTTATCACACAAAAGTATAATCTTGTTTCTTTATGGAACACAACCAACTTTAGTAACGTAACTAACTTTAGTAAATTAAGTTAATAGACCTAATTTCATTCAGTTCATTTAACTTAACCCTGTCAAGTCTTTTGGACTCATAAAACAAAGTTCCCAACTTATTAAACATGAGTAAATCAAATTTATCTAAATTAAGTAAGACTAACTCATATGCATCTTCTTTATACAAATATTACCATTTACATTTCTTTAACTCGTTTTACTTTAAGGAAAATTATTAGAATCAAGTTGTAATAACTTTAATCTTAGTTGTGGTTACTCAAGTCATTCGAGGAAACTGATTGCCTTAAACCTTTTAAGTTGCAATAACACAAAACAGTACACTCATGTCTGACATGAACTCAAACTATTTATTTAATGCAAAGAAACAAATTTCATCCTCCACTTTTCCTTGGTTTATCCTAAACCTAAGTTTTTACAAGACCTATCCCATGAAAATAGAGATTTGACAGGTCACCACTACACTGCCAGGGGTAGATGATGAGCCTATAAAACAAATACAACAGTAACTCAGATTGGTATAGAATCATATATCATCTGTTATGACATTTTAACCACAAGCTTACAAATCCTAATTTTCAAACATGTTTAACGTGTCTTCAGCATTTAATGAAAAACAAAAAATACAAATTAATAATGTTTGTTATTAATTAATAATAAGGTTATTGTGCCCATACCTATCAACCTTCTTGATTATTTAACAGATTTAGAACATCTGGATTTTTTTTTATATCACTGTGTACTGGAGTAACTCTATAGGATGAAGCTGGTGTATAAAATGTCAGTTATTAGTAAACTATGAAATGCAACTTGCATAATAGAACTAAATAGAAATCAATTTCTCCATGTGATAATACAGAAAGTATAAAAATAAAAACCAAGCAGAAATTGAGCTTAACTATGACAGACTAGACGTCTTCCCACTGTTGAGCGATCTGAGATGAAAAACAAAAAATACAAATTAATAATGTTTGTTATTAATTAATAATAAGGTTATTGTGCCCATACCTATCAACCTTCTTGATTATTTAACAGATTTAGAACATCTGGATTTTTTTTTATATCACTGTGTACTGGAGTAACTCTATAGGATGAAGCTGGTGTATAAAATGTCAGTTATTAGTAAACTATGAAATGCAACTTGCATAATAGAACTAAATAGAAATCAATTTCTCCATGTGATAATACAGAAAGTATAAAAATAAAAACCAAGCAGAAATTGAGCTTAACTATGACAGACTAGACGTCTTCCCACTGTTGAGCGATCTGAGAATCACCCGTTTAAATACACAGGCTAGATATCAACCTAGTGGC